GGGGTGGGTGGGGGCTCTTTAATTAGTGTACCTCCGAGAGCTGTGCTATTACAGTGCCCAGAGCGTCATGTGTATCAGTGTTCCCGTGCTGAAAAATGGCAGTGTGGGCACTTAACTAAAGCTCTCTCAATGAGTTTTAGTTAAGTGCCCCTGTTGCCATTTTTCAGTGTGGGGATGCTGATACATGTGATGCTGGAGTCTACTGGAGCGCGGCAATTACCACTCTCCAGCAAACTCAATCGTGTAAAGGAGTCCTATGTGTTTGAATGAGCAATAGTGAAAAATATCTGGTAAAATAAATTATTTTGAATGGATGGAAAGCTGTTGCTATTTTAATGTCTTATCTAGCTATATTTGAAACAAAAATAATTGAATCTGGAATATGTTGCATTACAACTTTCCTCCTGCTTCTATTGAATCACCTCTATTTTAGGACTGCCTTGGCTGTTTTCTGCTGTCATTTTAACTTTTTCTAAAGATCCAACATTTAAATTGACTTTGATAAAACGTGAACTATGAAAATAAAATGAAGTTGTATCCACCTTATTTTGCAGTTTTTTTGAAGAGGTTAGTTTAAAAGATGGGGATGTTGTTTATTTTATCTCTTATACACTTGAGAATCTGTGATAAAATCTCCTTTCTGACCTGCAGTCAGTTTTGATCTGTGCCTGCATCTTTGCCACAGATGGCTAAGGACTATGGAAGTCCTGCTGACATCTCTCTCTTTTTGGAGACTTACTCCATCGTCATGACTTCATATTATTTTATGCAGACCTCATCTGGACATCTGAGCCACTTTGGTAACTGCTGCGATAAGTCAACAGATCTCATTAATCTTTTCCGTGTTTAGGCATATGAATTAAGTGCTAGGGAAAGGTACCTTGTTTATCACCTTTTGTTTGTCATCAGAGCAAGTAGGAATAGAAAACTCCCTGGTTCTACCTTATAAATAAGTATTCTGACCCAGAGGGACTTAACTCTAGGAAGGAAAGTGGTTTAGTGTCCAAGACTTTCCAGTGATTGGCCTTTCTGCTAACAGTGTCAATTAAGGCACTAGTAGGTATTGCTTTTTGTGATGTAAATGCATACAACCATGAGATAGTAATGACGTCAAACCAAGACTAGATTCCTTCTGGTGAAGTGGGAATGAAAGGGTTACTGTCCTGCACTCCAGAGTTGGTGTCACCACAGATAGGCACAAGGCATTTTTTCCTCTTCCCACATTCCAGTAGGGTTGAGACCACCATTCTGTTGTGGTCCTGACTCCTGCCAGCATGAGATGCACAATATTTAGTCCTTGGAGGATGCACATTTATTTCTGACATCTGCTATTTATTCTGAGCCCACATGCAGATCTGCACTGTGCCCATGATCCTTGCTCCTCTCACCCTTCCCTTGGTAGTTTCCATCAACTACCTCTGCTCTTTCACGTCCCTCTGAAAAATGTTACTGAGGTGTCTTCTTGTCTGCTTCCATTC